CAAGAGTGTAGTGATGGTAAGGAGCCAAGAAGGTATGAGGAATAACTGAAATAGCCCACGTTCTGAACCATCTGCCAAGCAGGGAATAGGAACCATTTCAGATTGACATGAGATGGCAAGTCCTTAGATTTCTTCTCTTTGTAGTAGGTAATTATATTTGCATTTCTGTTACTTTTGCTTAAAGTTATTTATATTATGGCTGAATGTTTTCATGTTGTTTCCAGGAGCATGGCTTTCAGCCAGAATCCTTAATAGTAATAATAATAATAAACTTTGTGATAGGAGTTTTACCAGATAGTGTAAACCACTTTTGCTGCCTTTCCTTCATCTCCCCTACTCTTCCCTCTGGTATGTTGTAGCATGTTTTTGGTGTTTCTGGTTCTGTGCCTTTTTGTGTATGAGGGTTTGAAATAGTGATTTGGCAGGATCCTTGGATAAATGGTTGCCTGCAAACACAGGGGACTGGACCTTATGGCTCGGGATATCCCTTCTAGTAGTACCATACCAAAACAGCAGCCAGTGACTTCATGGCCCCAGACCCCAATTCCATTCACTTCCAGGAATTTCAAACAGTTTGTACACACAGGCTAGACATAGACATCTATTAAAGCAAATACTGTATTTGGTACAGCCCCAGCCATGTGATAAGCAAAAAATGCTGAGGCCTTACATAAAACCTGGCACAGTATGGGCAAGAAGGCAGGCCCACAACACAGTGCTCAAAGCACATATGCACTTTCAGGGTTACTCATTTTCCACACAGAAATATTAAACAATCACTAAGTCAACACACCAGGGACCCTGTGTGTAACTACAACTTCTGCTCACACTGATAAGCAATACAGTGAGCCTGAAACATGTGCCTACTTAGGTAATGGCTAAGTTGTTCGGGTTGATGTTTCTAGGGTGCATTCATGCCTACTCATAACAAATCCTTCTTAAAATGTGACATAATTGAGGCTTACCCACGCTTTACTACTTGGAGGGTGCGTCTACACGTTCATAAATGCTCAGTAGGTACTGCACATTTAGTTCAGTACTTGCTTAATGAAATACTAACTAAATGTGCAGTAACTACAGTTACTGTGCAGTAGTGCCAGCACATGGATTTTTCATGATGGTTACTGCGCAATAGCCTAATAACACAGTGCAGTAGTTTATTAGCATGGTTTTTGACTGGCATGCTACTGTGCCGTGTTATTAGGCTACCTCACAGTAAGTGTCTCATGTAGGTGCACCCAGTGAGTAGTAAAGCACTGGAAAGCACTACCCAGAGAGGTTGTGGAATCTCCATCCTTAGAGGTTTTTATGATCCAGGTAGACAAAGCCTTGGCTGGGATGATATAGTTGGGGACAGCCCTCTGAGCAGGGGGTTGGACTAGATGACCTCTTGAAGTCTCTTCCAACCTTCATTTTCTATTAGTCTAGGATTCTATGATGTCATCTGCACTACCATGCAATGCTATTCCACTTTGTACCGCTCCTTTCCACATTGTGAATCAATATCAACTATATTCTGATATATAATTGTGTTGATTGACACTGACAGAGTCAGTCTGTGAATGCACACGGGAATCAGATCAACAACAAGGAATTAGGCTTTGATATCAGTTAAAGAACAACACATCAGCTGGAGGCATCCATAGTAGAAACAACATGATCCCATGGATAAGAGTATAGGACTGAGTCAAGCTAGTCAGGTTCTGTTCCTGGCATTGTCAGAGTTGGTGTATAAACTTGGTTCACTTCCGGTCAAATTCAGAGGTGACATAACTCCATGCAAGTAAAATTAATTGAATGACAATGGCACAGAATTTAGACCTTCACCTCTCTGGGCCTCAGTCACTCTGGCTGTAAAACAGCGATAATGCTACTTATACACACCTTTTTTCAAGTACTTTGAAACTGCATGACAAAGGATAAGATTTTGACCCCCTTGCCATGGCCCCTTCATCCTGCTCTAGCAGCATAAAAGGCCCATTGGGTAGCAGAGTGACTCACAAGGGAATTTCTCTATGTTAAGGCAGTTTAGGGCATTTAGGTAAATGCAGTCCTGTGCAAAATCCCACTCTCAGTTCCTGGTGGAGGAGGAGGATGATGGTGATTATTATTTGTTTAAAGAAGGTATTAAGGAGCCCCATCCTAGACAAGGACCCCATTGTGCCAGGTACTATAAAATGCAGAACAAAATGATGGTCCCTGTCCCACAGATCTTACAGTCTAAGTCAGTGGTTTTCAACATTTTTTCATTTGTGGACCCCTAAAACATGTTGAGTGGAGGTGCAGACCCCTTTGGATTGTAAGTGTGGGTATTCACATACTTTTGCTTGATCATAGTAATTCTTTGTGGACCTCTTAGACATAGTCTGTGGATCCCTAGAGGTCTGTAGACCATAGGTTGAAAACCAGGTCTAAGCAGAACAAGAGTGTAGTGATGGTAAGGAGCCAAGAAGGTATGAGGAATAACTGAAATAGCCCATGTTCTGAACCATCTGCCAAGCAGGGAATAGGAACCATTTCAGATTGACATGAGATGGCAAGTCCTTAGATTTCTTCTCTTTGTAGTAGGTAATTATATTTGCATTTCTGTTACTTTTGCTTAAAGTTATTTATATTATGGCTGAATGTTTTCATGTTGTTTCCAGGAGCATGGCTTTCAGCCAGAATCCTTAATAGTAATAATAATAATAAACTTTGTGATAGGAGCTTTACCAGATTGTGTAAACCACCTTTGCTGCCTTTCCTGCAGCACCTGAAAGGGGAAGCAAAGCATCTGTTCTGGAAAGAGACATAAAGATTATGGGGATATACCCCTGGCTTCTTGGTTAACATTGCAACCAGTGTCCTAACTGTTCTAATATAAGCCTTATTTTAGACTCTTCCTGAATATTTCCACCCATAATAGCTACTCAAAAAATGCTTAGTTTTGTTACAGAAGGTGTAAGGAAAAATGTGAATTCCCTTCTGCATTCTGGAATAAGGAATAGCACCACAGTTCTTTAAAAATCCCTAAGCACACTTTTTAAATTAGGGTTATGTTGAAAATAGCTGGACTTGGGGCCACTCTAAGTGTTTAGGTGCCTAAACTTTTTTTGTTTTTTGGATCTGGCCTTAGCCCTCAGTGAGGTTTAGGAATGGAGTATAATGAATGACTTTCCTATCTACTGGAAGACTGCCATCCTTGAATCGAGGGACTGCCAATAATGACACTATTGAACAGTCTATTCTATGGCTGGTATTTAGGGATTCCTGTGTGGGGACAATGAATCAGCATTATTCAGCTTGAGAGAATGTGTATTTCTCTGTCCAGGAGTTTCTGTAACAGATCCCTTTGTTAATCATCATCATTGAATCTTGCTGCTTCCTTACTGTGAGAGACACTAGAAATAATATGCTTTTTAAAGAGGCTGGGTGGGGATTATGGGTGTATTTGTCTTGTTACCAGCTAAGGGAGGAGCAACTCAGTGATCTAGTGGCCCTAAAGAGCACCCCTATAGCAAGACACCCTTGCCAGCAATATACCAAGGCTAGAAACCTACAGAGGATGGAACAACAAACATTGAACGGGTAGAGACAAGAGGGATGAATCAATCAGAGAAGGGCTCTCAGGAACGTAAACACTGAATGTAATGGAGGAGTAGCATCTTATCACACTGATTACCTGGGACACTTATAGTATACCCTACCTAGTAAAGATGTTTTCTGCACATGAGCAGGCTATGCTAAGAAAAGCTATGCGATAGTCATGCTATCAAAATACTATAGAAGAGATAAATATCGGACTGTATCTTTTGTCATTGCAGAAGGAAGGAGTTTTAACTCAACAGCATGACTATCCACCTTTCCAATTCTGAGTCTCGTACGTGTTTCTAGGCAAATATAAAAAGTAGCCTTAGGGGAAAAAGCAGGCAGGAGAAAAAGCAGATGTATTTGAGGGTGTTTATTTAGTTAAGCACAATGAATACACATATAGAATTGTTGTGGAATGCCTACCAATCAGCAACTCATTCCAGCAGTCTCAGACACAGTGCCCTCAAATACTCCTCGCTCTGCCAGTAGAGAGCTGCTTATCAGCCCATGAAAGATGAAACCAGCACTAGCCAAGTTGCAACTGGACATGGTGGGAGAAGTGTGAACTGAACCAGCTTGAGTCTGTATTGCTGCTTGTGATGAATTTATCACTATGGCACAGATACAGCAAGCTGGAGGTGCATACACAAGTCTTCAGCTCTGAACGAGCTCACTTTAGCATAAGTATTGGCTCTAGCTAGGGCAGTGGTTCTCTACATTTTCTGAGGCGTGATACGAGTCTAAAAAGGTTCTCTCATAGCTTTCACTCATTCCTTGACTATGGAAGACAACAAAAACATTTTTGTTGTAAACATCGAAAGACAAGTCAGAATGTTTTCAACACTATGTTTTGATTCACAAAATATACCTAGAGACTTATGTATATGTTTGCACACCAAACAGTACTAGTATTGTGCAGCTCCCCACAGAAATCTAACAGCACCCTGGTAGAGGAGCCCCTCGATCATTGATTCTCAAATAAGCAGCCTCACTTCTCCATGGAAGCCTGCTTCCAGACTATAGGTTCTGGATGAGATGGGCAGAGGCAAGGAAAGTGGGTTGTTGCCTCACCTACCTAGCACAAGATTTGCCTCTTCCTCTTAAAAAAAAAAAAAAGAGGGAGACAAGAAATACTGCAGTGTTTCTTTCAGGGAACCAAAATCCTCAGCTATTGTTACGACAGAGATGTCATTTAGGCACAAACACCAGTGGTCACTGTAAGTCCTCGTACAAGACCCGATGCAACAGAAGCTGTTATAAGTTACACTAAGAAGGTGGACCGATTTTACAGCTCTTCACTGACAGCCTGTCCAAAGCAACCACGCGTTTCAGACATCATAAGAGAGCATGCAAGATGAAGAATGTAGCAGTTGAGACATGACTAAATTTAGTTTAGTCTAAGACTAAACCAACCAGCAAAAAATATTTAGATCTCTGTACACTTAGTTTTATTACTTCACTAGCTTATACTCATACATCATAAATACTAGAGATACTTGGACCAATATACACAGAGCACAATAATGTTATTCCCCCCCCCCCATCACTACATTTACAGCTTCTTATCAGGAAGGTCACTTGCACATGTTATTTGCAGCAGCTGCATGTGGTGGGAGGCGGTCCCTTGCAGACACATCCTTGTGCACACTTGGTACATCCAGCTGGGCAACAGGAACAGCACCCTAAAAAGGGAAGAAAAACAAATGCCAGGGTGTCAGTCTGAGCCCAGCAATGTCCCTATAAACAGGATAGGGGATGGGTCAGAGATATAAGAAAGAGTTATCCACAGCCAAGGTATATGGGAAACAATGAAAACCTACAGGATCTCACTTGGAAACCTCAATCCCACAAGCTTTATTTGAAGTTGGACTCCCACTAATTTCAACTGACTTTTTAATAATAATAAATAAGCTACAGGACCAGGCCCTACTAACTACTGCACTTGCTGATGAGGGAGTAACATGAGAAGCACTGCTATTTTTACTGTTCTTCTTTTTGTGTTGCCTTTTGTCACTTCCATTTCAGCCTGGTCATTCTCCCATCCTTGGTTTTGCCCCCTGCCCAAATAGGCAGTGCACACACTTCATTATGTGATTCTCTGCCTTTAGCATCTTCTCCCCAACCCTCCCTTTCCATAATGGGATTGTCTTGTCTTCTCTTGCTTTGCAGAGACCAAAGAACACAACCAGACTGCTGAAGGCAGCAGACTGGTCACTTGATCAGTTTGCCAGCTTTTCCACACAGTACTATGCAAGACAACAAGGATTTACTGGGACTTGCACAAAGCTCTTCCAAGACACAGGACTCATTGTGAAGACAGACCCGTAAGGGTCTCCTGTTAGTCTCCCTTGTGATACCAGCTCTTGTGCTGCAGCCACCAAGAGCACCACATTGATTTCAGGCAGGGCTCAAAGGCCAGGCTGGTAGCCTAACAACACTGTGCAGCTCCTAACAATCAAAGGGGCACATGGGCCAAGTTGGGGGGGGGGGGG